TCATTGAGAACATGGTTGTTGTTCAATAATAAAATTATTCCTCAAAAATACAACTTGCCTAATAATTCTGCACTCCCTGTAGTTTCATGCTCCATTTTGTTAGTGGGGAACACTGAGGCCTCAAACTGTGTAATATAAACAAATTAAAAAGCAGAGTGGCTTTGGGGACAAAGGTGGCGCTCCTCCTCCTCCTCAGTCCTGCAGGAAATGCAGCAGTGGCGCCGCCCAGAGGGGAGCCATTGAAATGCAGGGTGAACAATGTGAGAGGGGTCACCACCATCTCTTTGGTGTTGCTCACGTTCAGTTCAAGTGTGGAGCTGTCACATCACAAACTCCTGCAGAGTGAGCCGTGGTGCTGTGAGGGCCTGACAGCAGTGACAGAACTGTGTCATCAGCATATTTCACCAGGTGAATTTTGGGCTTTTTAACCCATGGCTTCTGCTTAGAGTGAGTCTGCACAGTAACCCGTGGTACGATGTCATCAGTGTATTCACTGATGCATTGTGTGCAATCATTCACTCTATTGTTGGCAACAGCTTGAAAAAACTTACCACTGAGCAGTGCAGAAGCAGTGACGCAAGACGATGGCGGTCCAGCATTGAACCAAGCACATGATTGGCTGCTCACGCCTCAGCTTCTGCTTATACGCTGGTAGCAGGACGACCTGATTTGCTGAAGGCTGGTTGGGGGCGGGCACATGTGAACGAGGTACTTTTGTTCTCACAGGACCACCAGCCAAGCCGGGAACTGAGGAATTCTCCTGATGGAGTATCCTGATGGAAAGTCATCCTGGTCAGCAGTTCATCCAGCTTGTTTTCCAAAGTTAGGATGTTAGCTAGAACAATGGTGGGAAGTGAGGAATGGTGCTGTCTGTTCATCAGCTGGGCCATGACCCCGGCTCATTTCCTCCGGCGTAGTTTCTGCTCAGGGGCATTTGTGTGGTCGAAGGTGACCTGTGCCATTTAAACAGCATGTTTCCAAAAGTACTTTACACACTAAAATGCAACTAAAATAAGTCAAATGCACAACAATCATGCAGTACAATTTAAAAGAGAAATAATAATACAATAAGAAAATAAAAAAACAACGACTAATCTGTTTAAACAAAAACGTTCGGGTCAATGTGTGCTCAGAGACAGTCCATAAAAAAGTGTCCAGTGTTTGTGCAGATTGAATATTTAGACACAGACTGTTGCAGAAACTGCAAGTGTTAAAAACACGAGGAAAACTCGTGAAATTGAGTATGATGGCGAGTGATGGCAGCCATCCTCATCGGCGCCATCTGATAATCTAAAACACTGCATTAACCATGAAAAAACCCACTGCCATCTTTACACACAGCCCCCGTTTTACTCCCCAATTATGCAAATGAACAGTTTTAAGAATAAACATTAAATTTTTCATTCCTAAGTGTGGAAACTGTCCTGATGCACAAACAAAATTTATGACATTGTTGTTTTTGTGTTATAAAAAATGTATTATTTAAAAACACGTTGCAATAAAAGATTACATTTGTAGATTCTGTGCTAACTTTTAACATTTTTGTTACCATTTCAGTGTCTGAGACGAGGGCTGTTCTGCTGGGGAGCAGCTGGTCTGAGTGGGAAACTTCTTACTGGGAGAGACAAATTTAACAGAGTGGACGAAAAGTGGACTGATTCAAAGCAAAGAAACAGTTCTCATCAACACACCAGATCTGCTTCATTCCAGCATCTCTGAAGACAAACTAAAAGGGCGCTCATGTGTTTCTGCTGGTCATACAGTCTGAGGACTTGACACAGCAACACAAACTGAAGCTCTGCGAAATTCTGAACATCTTCAGTGATTATTCTTTTGACCATTCACTGGTCCTGACATCAACACCCAGAGCTGATGGAGAGACCTTTGCAGGTCTTGATCAGATTTCCGTCTCGGAGACAGAAATTCTTCAAGTTCAGGAGTTGCAGACAAAAATGGATCCAAGTGTAGAGCGTAATGACGGGAGGCATGTGATCCGTCATCCAAGCAGAGCTGGAGCTCCTGTTAACTTTGTGCTCTATGGTTACGTTTACAGGAATATTCACATTGGTTGCAAGTTTTTTTATTTTAATACATTTGCAGGAATATCAAGCTGTTTTTCACGTTGTCATTATGGATCATTGTGCTGAATTTTGAGTAGAAAAATGATTTTAATAAATTGTGGAAAAAAGCTGTAACATGACAAAATGTGGAAGAAGTGAAGTGCTGTTAAAACCTTCAGCATGCTCTGTAGTTAGTAAAAATATAAAGGTTTCATTTGGAAATAGAGTCAGTGCCAATAACTACCCCACCTTCACTGTGACACCCTGTTACATAAAAGACACTGTCCACAAAGTGTCCAACACCAGCTTCATCTTTTCTGAACAAAAGTCAGGATATTGTCTTTTTGAATTAATGGAACTAAAACATTTCACTGTTATCTGTATACAGTTATAATTTACTGGAAATCCACTAAGTAAACCTGGACAACCTGTCAAATAACAAACCTCTTCTCAAACATCAGTGTTTGCACCGTGCAGTACACATCTGCTCATCACTGGATGAAACACTGCATCTATTCATGGATTATTCTGCTGCTGTCATTGCTTTTATTTTTATGTAACACACTGATGCAAAGACCACAGGAAACAAAAAACACATGTGAAGTATTAAAACATGCAGGTGTATTTGCATAAAAAGGAAACAAGTGTGTATTTAGGAGGTGAAGAAACAAAATCAAAAGGTGACGAGTCAGTGACAGCTTGGATGCAGGTGCATCACCATGAAGGTGACCTACCCACTGAATGTAAGCCTTTAACTGTCCAATGTTAAGTCTGTGCGTCAGTGGTGAGACGTCATCATTTTGTGATTTTCTTCTAATTTTAGACAAATGTCCTGACATCAGCACGCTCGTCTGTGGCCTTTTTAATTTCTCCAATCTGAGATCAGCTCGCAGGAAACAAACACGGAAACAATAAAGCTGCCGTCGTTTAACAAAGTTTAAAACACTTTCCTGAAGCACAAAGTGCAGGAAATCCTAAATGTCACCCTGTGAGGACACGGGGGGTGAAGACATGTCCTTCCTCTTCTGAGACCAGAGCAGCTCTCAGCATCAGACGCTCTGCAGTACTCCATGAAACTGATTCCTAATCCCGTTGCCATGTCAGCAGATCGTAATATTGACCTTATTTTGAAGTGTACATGTTGATTTGTGTAAATTACTCAGACGAGGTGGAAAGTTGAGGCTTGTAGCAATAAACTCAAACGACCACTCAGTGATTAAGTAAATAAATGATATTTTATTGAAAGACTTTAGTTTGATGACAGGTTGTTTGACCAGAGAGAGATGCAGTGGAAATTCTTGTCTGACAGTTTGCAACAGCTCAAACTGGACTAGAAAAAGTGTTTTAAATGTGGTTGAAGTGAAACTTTTACTGTAACACTTAAACCTGATCCGTCGTATTCACAGCATCTTCAGGCGTGTCCATGCGAGACAAACCAGACGCACGTCTAGCTGGGACAGTGGAAGTACGGCGACTCCTGCAAGGGCGGAGGGGGCGGAGCATGGAAGCGTTTTAGAAGCACTTGCGGTGAACAATGGCGGGGCCGGACTCATCGTACTCCTGCTTGCTGATCCACATCTGCTGGAAAGTGGAGAGAGAGGCCAGGATGGAGCCGCCGATCCAGACTGAGTACTTCCTCTCGGGGGGAGCGATAATCTGGAGACGAGAACAGATTAGACACGAGGCAGGCAAGTACCTGTAGGCCCGTCTAGAGACGCACAGCAGCAGGTCGTCAAGTTTGAGAAGGTGTACACTAGAGGGCAGCAAAACTAGCTTCAGATAGATTTATACAGTGGTGCCAAATGCCAGAGAGGAGGGTGTAAATGGCACCGTTACAGTGCAACACTGCACAAGTTTACAGCTCAAGAGATCCAAGTAACAAACCTTAATTTTCATGGTGGGCGGGGCCAGGGCAGTGATCTCTTTCTGCATGCGGTCGGCGATGCCGGGGTACATGGTGGTGCCACCGGACAGCACAGTGTTGGCGTACAGGTCCTTACGGATGTCCACGTCACACTTCATGATGCTGTTGTAGGTCGTCTCGTGGATACCAGCCGACTCCATACCTGAATGAAGTTTTAGTGCAGAAGTGAGAGACCTGATGCACCAAGGCTTCAGCCCCTTTCAGAAAAATTCAGACTCCAACAGGCGTCTCTGGAGGGTAACTGATGATTTACAAACCAAGGAACGAAGGCTGGAAGAGCGCCTCGGGACAGCGGAACCGCTCATTGCCGATGGTGATGACTTGTCCGTCAGGAAGCTCGTAGCTCTTTTCCAGGGAGGAAGAGGAAGCTGCTGTCTGCATCTCCTGCTCAAAGTCCAGAGCCACGTAACAGAGCTTCTCCTTGATGTCACGCACGATCTCACGCTCGGCTGGAGGTCAGAGTTGACAGTTAAATGGACACTTGGACGTGCGCATCATGGTTTGTAACTGCAGTAGCTGCAGATTATGGCTTTACATCAGCATGCTTGAAGGTAAAACTGCACACATACCAGTGGTGGTGAAGCTGTAGCCTCGCTCTGTCAGGATCTTCATCAGGTAGTCTGTCAGATCTCTGCCGGCCAGATCCAGACGGAGGATGGCGTGAGGCAGAGCGTAGCCCTCGTAGATGGGCACAGTGTGGCTCACACCGTCACCAGAGTCCATCACAATACCTGCAGGACAGAACACTCAGGTCACTCTGGAGCCACTGAGCTTTGTGCTTCCTCTAATGGTCACTAGCTGCTGCTCTGAGCAGGGCCAGAGAATACTCAGAGAAGCAGCTCCAACCCCCAACTGAAGAAACGAGCCCCAAGCTAAACAAGGAAGTTTATCTGAAGCAGAACTCTGCACAGCAAGATCCTGAAACGCTGGAGACCCACCTGTGGTACGACCAGAAGCATACAGCGACAGCACGGCCTGGATGGCCACGTACATGGCAGGAGTGTTGAAGGTCTCGAACATGATCTGCACCAGAGAAAGACGTTAATGTACAAGTGCTATAATTACACCATTAGCCTGGAAATTAACTTCTTTTCTACAATTGAAAAAATGCATCCAGGCTAGAAAACCTTCACAGGATCAACAGGTTCAGCGTATCAGCTGCTTTAATCAGAGATGGTCCTTAACACACCTGCGTCATCTTCTCCCTGTTGGCTTTGGGGTTGAGAGGAGCCTCAGTCAGCAGCACTGGATGCTCCTCAGGAGCAACACGGAGCTCATTGTAGAAGGTGTGATGCCAGATCTGCACGACAGAGGCAGCTCGCAGGTTAAGTACAAGTGCGATTAAATCAGAAGGTTTTCAGCCTGAACTCTGATTCTCAGGTGATGAAATCAAAGTGGAAAATGGCATCTTTCAGCAGCAAGACCAGAGCAAACCAAACAAATACACACACACCCCCCCACAAAAAAATAAATAAAAATAAAACCAGTTTAGATTGTTGTGGTTTTCTGTTGAAGCTGGTCAGATTTCATTCAGGGGTTTAAAGACAACCTGTAGTGAGAGATGTCAGCTTTGATAAAGTCCTTCACCTTCTCCATGTCGTCCCAGTTTGTGACGATGCCGTGCTCGATGGGGTACTTCAGGGTCAGGATGCCTCTCTTGCTCTGAGCCTCGTCTCCCACGTAGCTGTCCTTCTGTCCCATTCCCACCATCACACCCTGCAGACACAGTTACACGCGTCAGGCTCATGCGCAGGGTTGCAGTCAAATTCCTGAGAGTGATGTTCGTACCTGGTGCCTCGGGCGACCGACGATAGAGGGGAAGACAGCTCGGGGGGCGTCGTCTCCAGCGAAACCCGCTTTGCACATACCGGAGCCATTATCAACAACGAGGGCAGAGATTTCTTCATCCATGTCTGAAAGAACAGTCATTCACATAAGAGGGTAAATCTCTTAAAGTAAATACTTCAATAATTCTGTTCTGCAGTGTTAGTCAGTGACTGGCTGCTCCCGTATGGGATCAGAACGATGCCGCCTTATCCCACAGTCCAGCCAATGATGCGATTCACATTCAAGCCACGTTAATGACAAAGGGTACAACCACTGGAGATGTGAGCAGGACAGACAGAAAGTGTGGACTTTATACCAGTTTTTATAAAAGTCTGATAAAAATATCTGCAATGTTTTGTTTTCTTCCTGAATACTGTTGTCGTTTATATTTACTGCAGGAAGAAACTGTAAAAACGGCGTTTTATAAGGAAAGCGCTCTCCGCCTGTGAGCAAACCCCTGCCCCCAGCCTTATGGGGGCCAATCAAAATAATTATATGGGAACATGGCATTTATTGTTGTGGCACAAAATTAGTGTTGTATCCAATTTGATGCAGAACAGCTGATTGTTCTGTAAATAGTTTGAAATGTAAAAAAAAAAAAGAGCCTTGGCTGCATTTTTAGGTAAACAGCTGCAAAAAACTTTGTTGTTTGCAAAACTCAGTAACTTTTTTGAAGTAGTAACTAATTAATTGTCCAACATTGGTCATTATTTACTGCATTTCAGTTACAGGACTCTACTTATGACTCATAATTATGACTCATTGTCATAGTTCAAGACTGAGATCAAAATATAAATAAAAAAGTTGTTTGTAAAATTGGAGTTAAAGTTATTTTTACTTCCAATAGTGTTAACATACTGTACAGGTCGTGAACAAGAGTTTTTAAAATTTTCATTGTAAGTGAGCTAAAGCAGTTAATTAAAAGTAATCTAACATAAATGCTGTAATTTGATTACTTTAATAAACATGTAACTTGGATGATTCGATGCTGGCGTGACCACAGTGCTCACGTCTGCTGTTGCTCACAGTGATCCAGGGACCCTCAGGGAGTTTGTGTGTTCGCTCAGACACGTGAAACATTAGAGGGAACATTGATGGTGGGTGGGGCTTCTGGCTAAACTGAGTTGTTTTGTCACATTTTTCAGTCGAGAACATTTCAACAAGTTCAGACAGAACAAACTCTTCTGCTCTGCAAACCCAGATTCTCATCTGGCTCAGTCCATTATGAACAAGGTTTGTAGTTTCTATGCACGTGTCCAGGTCACACTTACAGTCACGCATGTTTTTAAGTTGGCTGAACAGAAAACCACAGCAGCAGGTCTGATTATGTAAGAGTTAGAAACAGGAAGCACAGAGGAGCAGCCCTTCCCTCGGGTCATCACTCATTCACTGAAGATGGATTTTGACACAGTTTTTAAACTTGAATAAATCTCATGCAGTCATGAACATTAAAGAAAT